TATTATATATATATATATATATATATATATGGAAAAATTGTTTGGTGCGGCCTGCGCAATCTACACCGTCCTCCGAATAAAATAATTGCCATCCTAAACAATTGCCACCTTAATTCTCTAAAAAAACTAAAAACACCGGTTCAAATATTTTCTCTAAAAAAAAAATCATTTTTAGCTTTTTAAATTTTTTTATTTTTATAGATTAATAATCTTTATGTTAAAATTTATATATTTCCTAAAAATTAAGATCAATTTCATTTCAAAAATAAATTATTAAGGGTCCTCCATTTCTACAGGTGAGTCCATTGACTCATAACAACGGTGTTATACCACTAGCTGATAGCTACTACATTAGCCCAATCACAATTAGATCATTTACTTTTAATGTAATAAGGTCAGAATTACTCTTGTCCGTCAATTTTCAAATTAAATAGTTTAAGGGTATCATTGACTAAACTCAAAGATTAAAAAAACTTTATCGAACATCATAAAACATTTCGATCCATTCAATTTGATATCTAATGCCTAGGAATAATTATGATCTTCTTGTAATAAAGATAAATAATTTCATAACATACAATCACATATAATATAGGGGAATCATGTTATGGTTATAATACAATATAATGAAACAATCTTAAAAAACCATGTTATAGTATTTTTTTAATCTCAACTACTAACTATACACTCTTTTTGTTCTTATAAACAATTACAAAAAATCCAAAACTCAAAGCATACTTTAAAAACTATTTAGCTCAATTAAATATGTTGTTTATTTTGGTGAGACACTTAAATCTAAGCCGTAAAAGGATTTTTCTTCCTTTCCAAATTTTGTGATGACTTTATTCTTATTAGATGAGCAAAGTTAAAAAAATGAAAAATTGATTTTCAGTTTGTAAATACCTAAATCTTGAAATTCACCAAATGGATAGTATAGATTCAGTGTTGGAAGGCGACTCGTTTTGAGCATATCTAAGGTGAAAAATGAATTTTAGTTTTTTTAATATTGATTATTGTGATGAAGAGAGGGGTGTGTGCAATTTTTGGTGTCATACAAATACCGCAAACATGATTTTCTAAAAGTGTGATTTCTAAAGTAGATCCAAACACCTATATCGTAATTCTTAAATAAATCAAAAAATTTAATATAAAAAAATTCCTCGTAATCATTTACCTGGGGGAGTAATTGCAAAAATATTGAAATAAACCCAAAGTTGGCCACAAAGCTACAAGACTGCAAGATATTGAAATGAAAAATATGTTATTAAAATATGTCAACTTCATAAGAAGCCCTCTTATGGTGTTGGAGCATAGGGCTCTCTCTTGTGCAAGCCGTTGTCTTCCACCTTGCAATTATTGTCATCGCGGAAATAATAATAATAATAATAACAACTTAAGTTTTTCAAAATTTATTTGATGGCCTAGTCAGATCTTAAATTATTTGTTTCTCGACTCATATT